TTTTCTCGGAAATAATTTTTATGGGAAATTAACAAACGACCAGATACGTAACAATACCATAGAATGAATGGGAAGGAATGACAGCTGTCTATTGCAAATAAACTACTTCAAAATCAAAAACGTATAAACAACTAGAAACGGGATTAAAAGGGAACACACCTCAATACTATGTGTGTATTAACTTGGAATTATTTTTTGTTTCAAACTTTTTGCGCAAAGCTACACAAATGGTTATTTGTGCATAACCATCTCCAACTATGAAGGGATAAACTAGAAGAAAGGCTGCTAATCAACTGCACCTACCTTTAACTTTTAATCTACTCTTGTCTTAATTTGTTAGAATTTGACTGCCACTCTTAAAGTGTAAATGTAAAATGTAAATTGCAAAACCCTTTAACAAGGAAAACTCAATAATAATGTCATTTAATAATTGCACAGTAATAAGATTCTTAAGAAAACATTCACTTGCATTCCACAAAAGAAACCTTCAACAAAGATACAGTACACACAGTGTATTACTTGATAACTTCACACCTACCTGTAACTTTTAAGCTACTCTTGACTGAATTTGTTAGAAATTGGCTGCCATTTTTAGAGTGCATGCATAGCCCCAAAATGTGGAGCATGTTTTTGTAGCAATGAGCCATGAACCCAATTTGAAATAGAATATTACATTAACTAAAGATAGTCATGAGCAACCTAGTTATTTATTACTCCTAAATATATATATATATCAAGTTTCAAAGTGATAACGTTTTTGTTTAAATGTTTTCAAAGTAAGCTCAGATGTAACAAAAACAGCAAGGTACAAGGTGAATAGTTTTAAAACTCTGCTACAAAATACAGAATAGAATTATTAAACTAATTCAATAAAATGTTTTTATAACCAACTTTCAGTGTTTAAAGTCTTTCTTTGTGAGCTGATATTATATTTGAATGTATATATATCATATATATATATTTTGATATTCATATACATTATAGGTATGCATAAATGTATAGATTTTATGTAAAAACAAAATACAATTTAGTTTTAGTTGTGTCAGTTATGTCAATATCTTAAAAAGTATAAAAGAGCAGATGCATTCCAAATTACTAATATAATCCACAATTTCTTATTTATCAGACATTTCCAAAGAGTAATGTATTAAAAGAAAAAATTGATCCAATAATACATAACCATTTAGATTAAAATAAAATGTTATATTGCAGTAGTGAGAAAAACTTTTCTTTGATAATAACTTTAGAAAGTCTTTTTATATAAATGAATGTAAATAATATATATGTTGTGGAAAGAAATTAACTTACAATTAAGTAATTAAAAATGAAAATGTATTTCTTATGGATATAGTCTGTTGAACGTAGATTGATGGTTAAAATAGTTTTTGATATGACAGGAAAAACTTCAAGAATTAAATGCTATGTTTGAGAAGTTTGAAGATGAAAACAAAACCTTAGAAAATTCTTTAAAGGACATGAATGAAAGTTTTCAGCATAGTAAGGTATATAATCCTTTTTTAATTGCACAAACAAGAAATTTGTAGAAGTGATGTTGCAGTTTCACTTTATTAGCTAATTAGTGAAAAAACTTTTGTTTTCTTCTGAAGTAATATAGCTGATTGCTATATTAGATAAATTATATTAGCTGTTGACAACACTTTTTTTCCATTGCACACATATTTCTCTAAATTTAAAATGTTAAATTTGCTTCATATGGTTAACAGGAACTTGAGTACAAATTAAATTTGTTTGCCAGTATGTAAAGTTTAACCTGTTTGTAAATCACAGTATAACACTTTCAAGTTTTGATTTTTTTAACTGTTTGTATTTTTGTTTTAAATTAAAAATGTGCATAAAGATAATACTTAACATGCATATAAGTTAATATTTTTAAAAATTTGAATGCCAGTTAATATTTCATCATTTATCCTTCATGAAAGAAAGTCTACTTTCTGAAGATGTTGGGATTATTGGGTTAATTAATTTTTTGGTGCTAAAAGTTTATTTTTTGAAACTTTAATACTTCTCTTTCTTGGAAGTTGCACTTTTATTTTTAAACTAATAACAGAAACATTCCATGGGTAATATGATATCTTGTGCAACCTAAAAATGTCAAATGTTACATGAATACAGCTTTACAATAGAAACAGAACAAATAAGTTGATGTCTGGGGATAATATTTGTACAATACAATATAGTTCTTTTGCTAAACTCTAATTTAGAACTGGCATGAAGATGACTGAAGACTTGCATTAATGATAGGTAATAAGGAAAAAAATGTTTTATGAAAAACCAATTCAAAATATGTAGATACCTTTAATATTTAATTTATGTATATAAAATATTAACTTGGTAATTAGCTAGTTAACTAGATATCGTACTTCTATAAGCGTATGGATATATACGATATATGTATACATATATCTGTGGGTGTTTGTTAGTAGCTTCTGTGTAGTGTATTCTAATTTATTAAAATGATATTAAATTTAAGAGATATATATTTGGTTATTGCATAGATTTTCTAATAAAATTAATCTTCCATTTGTATAAAACAAAAATCAGTTACTTCATTTCGTTTGCCTCTTGTTTTCATGTGAAAATTTAAGATTCTAAATAGAACAATAAATACTACATTTTGTCAAATCTTTGTATAAGAGATGTTTGTTTACTAATTATACATGCTATCACTCATCTATAATCATGATTGTTTTTTAAAGTGAATCTTATGAGCATTTCACACAAACATAGTACAATTTTTTCTTATTCTGTAGAAAGAGCTAGAAAGATTGTCGTCTGTAGAGCAAGAACTCCAAAGGGATAATAAGGACAAACTAAAGAAAATTACAGCATTGGAAAATGAGTTAGAGAAAATTAGGTATTGAAATTTGCTTTAATTTGATCAATTTTATTGTAAGTTGTAAATGTGGAATTATTTTATAGTAATACATATTTAGCAAATGGAAAGTCTTGTATATCTCATTGCTTAAGTTTTTTATTTTAAAAATGAAATGTTATAATTTTAAAGTATATATTTGATTTAAATTGGGGCTTTTTTTAATTTGTACAATATAAGACTATTGCAAGCAAGAAACAAGCATACTTAAGAAAACAGAATAACTAATTTAAGATCTTAATTCTTTTTATGGTAATTGAATTTTTATTTTATCCATTGTGACATTTGAAATTATTAATCAAAATTTCAAAAACGATTCTATAGACTCAAACAAAATGACAGTAGAAATACTTTAAAAGACATCAGACAGAGAAAAGATTCCTTACAAAAAGAAAATACCAAACTAAAAAAAGATATCACCAAATTGGAGAATGAATTAGAGGTATGATGTGAACAATGAAACTTGTTTCTGAAAACAGAAAATTTATTATGTTGTTTCATTCTAAATTTACATGTACTTTGTGGAGTACTTTGCATTATTTATATACATATATATATATATATATATAAAATAATTGTGGAAAACTGAATTTTAATATGCATGCATTCAGCAAATGTAAATAGGTCAGTTTCAGTTTTGATGGGATTTCTTCTCTACAACCTTGTAAAATGTTGCTGTGATTTCCTTATGAATAATTCAGTTATTTATTAAATAAAATATGAAACTTTGTTATTGGGTAAAAAATGGAAGAAATATAAATATAATACTTTTTCACGCATCTTTTCCATAATTATTTTTACAATACTGACTGCAATTGAATTTCTTATACAGAAAGAAATACTTTTCTTTGTCAACCCAGCACTAAGAGAATTATTATATTTTGTTTTCAGAATTCCAAAAATTTTAAAAGTACACTTCAGTCAAAAATTGATTCTAGTGAAGAAGAAATCCAATCGTTGAGGTACAATTTTCAATGTTTAATTTGATCATATTATCTTTGGGATATTGGGAAGATACATTAATAATAATAAATTATGACATTGATTATGAAATGTAAAAAATTAAATAAATGAACCCAAAAATTATCCTATATTTAAAAATATTCAATAAAAATTTAAATTTCATAAATCAGCTTTCATCTAGCAAATCCTTTCTTTATAAATTAATTTGGGGTAAATTTTTAAGTGTCGTGATCTGAGATGTAAAAAATATGTTTTGGTTATAGAAAATCATCTTTGACATTTTTTATGTATGGAATTTAAAAACTTTGAATAGTTCTCAATTTATAATCTATTTACAGAAAACAACCACTATTACACAATAATTTCTGAATGTAACAGAAAAAATATATAAGAATTTAACTGAGAATTACATTAATGAAAAAAATTACATAGAGCTATCTTGAATGTAAAGAGATGATTTTGTTTCTTTAAAAATTACCCTTATCAAGAGGAATAAGTATTTCTGAATTCTGAGACTTCGTAAATGTTTCAGATTAACGTTTATCAAACTCTCTTGAATTCATAATAAGGGTAGTTACAAATAAAAGAGATTGATGATAGTTAACCTGAAACCCAGAATAATTGAACAAATTTCAGCAATGTCATTCTAGTTAAAAGTCATAAACAGATGACATATTTCTTAATGTTTCTGACTTTAGGGAAAAATTGAAATACTTGGATCTGGAAAATAAGAAACAAACAGAAGAAATAGAGAAGTTGGAAGCTTCGCAGAGAAATATTGTATGTATACATTCTATAAAAAATAGAATGAATATATTCAGAAATAATTTCTTATGGACTAATCACAATAGGAGATTTTTACACAATCATTGAAAACTTCAATGGATAGAGGTATTGGCTTTTAAACCAATTGGAAGTAGTTTTAACAGTTTGAGATGTTTTATTGAAGCAGTTTGTCACAATTCTGAGTGGAATGTGTTAGTTTCAGACAACAGCTGAGACAATTGTTTGTCATCGTATTAACCATTTTTTTATCAATGTTAAATACTGTGATCTATAAAATTCATGATTGTGTTACACCACTCTTATAGCAGTTTTATTGTTATTTAGAAATTAATTATTTTTGTAAAATTTATTGGTTTATGAAAATTAATTAAATATAGTGATTAAATCTTTAAAAAATATATCACAAAGGGCCAAGTTGCTAAAGTACAAATCCTTTGGTACCTATGAATGCAATGCATAAATTGTTTTGTATTCTAAACATTGTGTTTTTATTTCACAAATATTTTTTAGGAAGAAGAACTAGAAGAGGTAAAATGTTCTAGAGAACATACTGCTGATGAATTAAACAAACAAGTAGCATCTTTTAAATTAGAAATAACTTCCAAAAACAAAACAATTAAGGACCTTGAGAAACAGGTAAGGATTTTTGAATATTATTTCTGGCATTTAATGAAAAAAAAACATGATTATGCACATAGATGTAGAATTGATTCATATTTATAAGAATGATTTTGCACATGTCCTGAGCTTAGGTAAATCCATGATACCATTACTTATTTTGCTGTATATGACATTCATGTGTTTGAGCTGTTGCCAGACACCTCAAGAAACTGCATTGCAGAGTAGTGAGAGATTTATAGCAGCAAACTCCTGGAAGTATGTAGGATATCATGTGTTTCACAATTCTCACTTAAGGATTCCAAACCCACAGATGCTTATTGATGATTTCTCTGAACCATTATATGTAATGGCCCAAATTTTAATCTCTTCTTTCCATCCTGACTGTATATAGTCATACCCCTGTTGGATCTACACTTTGTTTTCATTGACATGTTCAGTTTGGTTATTTCTTCACAGTAAATTGGACTTCATTTGAGAGTATCTGGCATTCAATTTGGCATAGTCTTTTTGACTTTAGATGGAGTTAGCTTCCTTTGTGATGGAATCCTATTAATACCATTAACCTTTGATGTAAGTTGTCTTACATTATCTGGCTTACCCTTCATAAACGTTTTCTCCTCATTTTTGATAGAAAATCAACTTATATTTTTTAATCATTGGATAGGTTCAATGCCTTATCTAATGTCACAGTAAATTTCAATCATTCACTTGCTAAATGTTGCCATTAGTGTTTTTTTTCAAGTGTTCATCTTCTATTCAGCAATGTGCCAAGTGAGAACTTTTTGATCTTTGGTCTTGTCATTCTTGTGTTGTCTTTCCATCACTTTATCACTATTTCCTATGTCCAGCATGAAGTCATATGCTTTTTCAAGGCTGCTCTTTGTATCCTTTCAATTTTCTGTCTTCTCTTGTTGGCAAATACAGCTAGTGGCTGAAATATATAGTTCATGTTGCAACTCACAATTTCAATTAAATAAGTGTGTATTATAAGATCAATACTGCATCTTTGAGCAATTTGCATGGAACTAGGAAGGGTGTGCAAAACTGTTACTATAAGCATGAATCAATCCTCTATGTTTGTGTGTGTCAGGAGCATTGCTAGATAATGAAAAGATTTTAGGCTTGAACCCCAAAAAGCAGTTACTACTCAAAACAATTAAAAGGTAATTGATATGTAATATATTATAGTTTATATAAGATAGGTTTATGATATGTATATTCTTATCTATATCTATATTAAAGTTTGAACAAAAATTAATAATTTGTATTTGTAACCTTTGAAAAGTAAGAAATATAGGCAGTTTCTTTATATTCTTTACAGATCAAAAATATCAATACCAGACATAATTCTCAATCCAAGGAGCTCATTGCTAATGAAAACAACCTGTCTTTGCTGCAAACAAAACTAGATGAAAAGGATAATGAATGTAAAACAGCTAGAGAAGAAATTGAAGAAATTAAAAAACAGGTTTAATTTTTATTCAAAACTTTGTGCCATATATACTACAGATTTAAAGCTTTCATTGTAATAATCAGCTTTGAGTACAATTATATTTTTCTTGTGATTTTCTAAAAACTGCACATACAGAATAATTTATAAATTCAGAAAAAATCTATAAAAAAACAGGAAGTTACAAAATGCTTAGTATGCCTGCATACATACTTTTCTTCCCTTCTTACTTCAGGCTTGCTCTCAAGCCAACAATTAATCTTAACTTTAACACTAGAACCACTAGACAATCAAAAGATACTTAAATTTTAACAATGAAAATTCCCAAATAGATGGCCTTGGTGTCTCTCATATTAAAAACCATTGAATTCTATACACACACAATGACCAAGAAGTACTGTAACTTTCTTTTAACATGTAAACATTTATATACAACATCATAACCCTTCAACAAATAGGAAGTACACTCAGAAAACCCTTTTAACAATTATATACATTGCAGCAAAAGTGCCCCTAGTGGCACAGTGGTATGTCTACAGAATTTCAAGCTAGAAACCGGGTTTTGATTCCTGTGGGGAACAGAGCACAGATTGCCCATTATGTAGCTTTGTGCTTAACTTCAAACAAACAAACAAAAAAGCAGGAAAAGAACTTTAACACAGATCAACTGGTTATAGTCACATCAAATAGATAAATGCAAAATAAACCCTTTAACAAATAATAAATTTTTACAATACATCATAAGTTCAAAAGTACAAAGTTGAAATCTTTAATAGACCATAATTTCAAATTAACACAGTACAAAATTAAGGAAACTCTTTGTAATGAAACAAATATTATCAAATCACAGTACACAAAACAGTAAAAGCAGGTATACAAAACAAACCCTTAATAATACACCTCCACACAAACCCTTTGTACATTAGAACATAGTAATTACTTACAAAGACTTGACCTCTAACATTGAACACAAAATAATCCTTTACAAAGTCAGCAATATGATAACATTAAATAAAACCTTTTAAATACATAGAAATGTACAAAAATAATTCATAATAAAAAACACTAAATAAATCACTAAATTAAAAATGTAAAATATAATCTAAAAAGAAGGAACACTTTAACATAAATAATTTCAGTATAACAGGACTTTAAAAGCAAAACATATGAAATAAAAGAAATAAACTCTAAAACAAGAAGTACAAAATAAACTTTTAAAATCATACACATATATATAAAATAAAAATCACAGAAGTAGGTACTAAAATATATAATATTTACACTTATCCAGAACAACTACAAAGCCCAACCACCCTTGCCCTCGCTTTAACCCACCATCTGATCTCCAGTGCAGTATTTGTCTGTTAGTTAGCTACAATGTTCACCCTGATGGTTTCTCAAGTCTTGGATAGTGCCCTTTGAGTTTTGTCAGCTGGACTTGCACTCAACAAACCTCTTTTTTTTTCTAGTTGCAGTGATGTAATGGATATCAATCTCCTGAGCTAACCCTTTTCTGTGTTATAAAGGGCCCAGATCTCAGTCCACCATGCAGTTATCTCTTGGCAATACTTCTTGAGTATAGGAATCTTCTGCAGAGAGGGGTGACCAATGATAACTTTGGAAAGAGTGGTCAGGAGCACTACCCTTGGCTGCTGCCCAGTGAATTCAAAGGACCTCTTAGGTAGCTTGACTGCCATAGATGTGGAAGTCTCTTCCGTCATCTCTCTTTGAGCTAGTTCTAAGGACCAGTAGTGTCACCATGCTATCTGAAATTCCTTGCCACCAATGATGGAAGTGATGTGACTGGTGGTGAGATCTTCACAGATATCTTGCTTCTCATGTCAGTAATCGTTCTATTAGTTGCTGTGCAGACTATTCAAGTTTCTGCTGCTATTGTTGGTGGTGCCAGTTGTGTGTTGCCCTTCAAGACAACTTTAGTACTGGGAAGGTATTTTTAGTTTATGGAATGCAGTTGTCCCACTGGAGGATAGTGCACATCTGATATCATCTCCAACTGGTGATAAGAGTTCCTGTGATGGAACACCTCAAGAAAGGCTTCCGATACCTTGACATCCTTTTTCACTTCTGTTTAACTGAAGTTGGCAGCTGTGGCTTAGCTGCTTCCAGACTCGACCCAACCACCATGGTGGTAGTGTTCAGAGGGTTCTTCAAGGTGGAGGTTGCTTCATCCAGCTTGGCTTTTGTGGGTGAATCTGTGTTCAGCTTGTCTACTCGGAACAGGGAGACATCAAAGTCAGCTCAACAACCAACTCAGCCAAGTCCTTTAGTCTAATACACCAGATAACAGTGCAGATTTATCCTTTGTGTTGGATATATAAGACTGTTTAGTGTAAAAATTATTTAGTTCATTTAGTGATCTAATATTTAATGCTTATTTAGTTTTCATAACAATGGTTAAAAGTAATTATTTTAAATGTGATAGTTATAACAAATTTTGTTATGCAAGTGGGTAAGAGTTGCATGTTTTGTGTGTAGTTCAATTGTTGTAATTTAACGTTACATTAATGGAACCTTCTGTATTTTTCTCATTGCCTTAAGTAAGGATTGTTACATCATAGTGTCTCATAGTTTGAAGGAAGTTCTATGCCTCTATTCGGTAGTGTATGTATATATACATAACCAAGTGAGTGCAAATTAAGTCAGAAAACGTTAAGTTAGTGAAAGTGAAGTTAGACTGTGTGATTGTTAGTTTAGCCTCAACGGGCAATATTTAAAGTGGGTTTCACAGCTTAACAGAGATAACGGAGAATAATTTGTCTTGTCAAAGGATGTTCTAAAGTAATTGAATCCACCTGTGTGGACTTTGACAAAAAGGAGACAACTACTTAAAGTTCTGGATACAACTGTGGTAATCCATGGGGTAACGTAAGTGATTTTATCGCAGATAGTATAGTAAGAAACAGAGTAGAGAAAAATAATTTGTCTTGTCAATTTGGTTCCGAAGTAATTGAACCAGCCTGTGTGGACTTTTGACAAGAAAGGAGAATTATTTAGAGTTTTAGATACAATTGTGTTATCCTATACTGTAAATAAATTTTGTATATACGCTTGACTTTTTTTGAATATATATTATTTTAAAACAAGTGGATTGTGTGTTGTCCATTTATTGTTCGAATTTATGGCCAACAAGTCACAGACACTTACTGTAAAGAATCAGGCCCTATAAAACCTAACACCTTGGCTCTACTGGGTTCAAATTCACATCAATGGTGAAATTCAACTCCTCACCAAATAAGAAATCATGAGTGCACTGACTGTCATCAAAGCTTCCTTCCATCATGCAGTTTGAGTAGGATTTGGAGGTATAAGCATACTAGAATGAAAAGTACCACTGGCTTGTTGAAGAACAAGATAGCCAGAATGGTCAAGAATTTGATCTTAAATAGCAAACTATTGTATTTAAAATGTAATGAAAAATAAGTTCTGATTGGCCAGAAGGTTAGCCAGATGCTATGTTGTGAAGAAAATTGTAACTGTTCAATTTCAACAACACACTACTCTAAGACTACCTTTAGAGACATTTTTAACCTATTACCTTGGTCAAGCAACATTTTTATGAGTTATAAGTATATTCATCCTCCATATTGCCCACAGAAACTTCTGAATCCTCAGGCTTCATTGAGTCTCTGCATGACCATTACCTATAGCTGTGCTGTCCTCTATTGCCATGCCCATGATAATGGCTAACACAGTTTACCCTCTAACCCAGATACATTCCCCCCTATTACTCTAGTTGTTACACAAACAGAAACATGGTCCAGTAGGAATATAATAGGATCATTTTGCAAAACTGTTTCCTGCACCCATATGCTGGCTCAAGTTAGTAGACACCAACTATACTTATGATCATTTGAATCGAATTCATTAATGCTTACATTATCTTTCCCTTGCATATTCTTTCAAATACAAGTTTTGTTCTAGTACTAGCTTGGTGCAACATACAAACTTTCATCACACAGGTGTTACTTTCCTTCTCTAGAGGCACATTTACAGTCTGCATTTTCATGCATTTTTACCTGCAGCTTGTACTTTAATAATGTGAAGAAAATATTTAGAAAACTGTGTACTTATAAAATATTTCTACTGCATGATTGAAAATATCCCATCATAACCAAATAAAAAAACTGTGTACACCAAGTTTCATTTATTATAATATCTGAGCTACTTTTTGAATATTTAAGGTTGATCCAATCAAAATGCCTTGCTGTACTTTAATGAAAAACACCAGTCCCAGCTTTGTTTTCTCTCAGACATAGTGTAGTTTTCTCCGTTACTCCTATCCTTCTATGAAAATGCATTACCTGCCAAATATTTGAACCTAGCACTTTCACATAACTGGTCATTCACAATGAAAGCTTGTAATCTTGAGGCATCACCTCACCTACCATTTGAGGACTGCTGTTGACATCCATGCACAAGGTACAGCTTTCACCAAACCAGGTGTTATCTTAAGAGAATGACAGAGAACAAAGATAACTGGACTGAAAGTAATTTACCAACTTTCTTGACCATCAGTTGTATGAAAACTGCACATACCATAACACCTAATAAATACTAATTTAAAATAAGAAGGTAGAAAACTCATGTTTATATATCACATCAGTATATATTAACAATTAAATTTCATGACCATTGTTATTTTTAAGAAAAACAGAGAGAGTGTATAAGTGTTATGAATGCAGTTTGGTGCTTTTATTCCAGATTAGTTTTGACTTTTGAGGAAGCAGAATTTATATCTGAGTCAGTCTCATCAGTGTATCAGTTACTCATTGTTGCTGCTGATCTTGTGATTGCTTTCAACTGGATATAGTTTAATTACTTCATTTGCACTGACCTTATTTCTTGACAATTGTTTGGTATTTACAGTTCATCTTCAATAAGCAAAGCATTTTATTTTATTTACTCTGTTATCTTTCAATCGACCTGAAAGAAATCACAACACCAATCCTTCCACATACAAAATCTCAAGTCCTGGTTTTATGAGATTAAATGCCTGTGTTCTAGGTTTAATCTTGAAATTACCACAACTATACATTTAGATTCAAAATTAGCAGTTCTTAAGAATTTCATAAAACTTTTTCATTAAGTATATAAGGCTTAATGTTTCCTATTGATCATTTTTATGAGTAAGGGTACACTTCTAATTATTCAGATATATGTGATTTGTTTTTATTGCTAATTTTATAAATGTTAAATGAGATGTCTTTCTTTTCACATGGACTATATGACAATATGAGAAACTGATTAACTAAATATCTGTTTTTAAGTTATGACTTTAATTCAAACATCTGTATTTTCTTAATGTGGACTATTGGTTCAATTTTTCAAAATTTTTTTCTGAATACAGATATCACAAATCTTTAGGATATTGACATTAATTGAAATTTACTGAAGACTAATTCTAAATGTTTTGATTTACTGTAGATCCTTGGTATGCATGATACAGTTTGATATTGATTCAAAGGTTTTAATTTTAATATTTGAAAAATTACTTTCAGTTTATGTTTATTATGTATTTAGTTGGAGGAATTGAAGAACTCACTAGAGGAGACAGAAAAAGAAAAAGATTTAGCTAAAAAAAAATATGAGGAAGAAATTCAGGAACTGACACGGATGTATAACGTTGCCTATGTAAGTGATATTGTTTATTTTTATAAGACAATAAAAACAATAATTTGTTTTTTCATGTGTAACTTTCCCCTAAAAATATACATACTGTATAAGGCATGCATTACATTCTGGTAGCACAATTTGTTCTGTACTTTGACAGAAAGACTACAGAATAGCACTGAATGCAAGAGAAGATGCAATTGATAAACTCACCTTAGAAAAAGAAAGAGCAGAAGCAACTGCTAGATTGGGGGAGGTTAAGGTAAGACAAT